AGGGTGTTGATTTTAGATCTTTCCTGCTTTCCCTTATGGGCACTTAGTGCAATAAATTTCCCTCTACATACTGCTTTAAATGTGTCCCAGAGATTCTGGTACGTTGTATGTTTGTTCTCATTGGTTTCAAAGAATGTGTTTATTTCTACCTTCATTTTGTTATTTACCCAGTAGTGATTCAGGAGCAGGTTGTTCAGTTTCCATGTAGTTGTGCAGTTTTGAGTGAGTTTCTTAATCCTGAGTTCTAATTTAAGTGCACTGTGGTCTGAGAGACAGTTTGTTGTGATTTCTGTTCTTTTACATTTGCTGAGGAGTGCTTTACTTCCAACTATGTGGTCAGTTTTGGAGTAAGTGAGATGTGGTGCTGAGAAGAATGTATGTTCTGTTGATTTGGGGGTGAAGAATTCTGTAGATTTCTATTAGGTCTGCTTGATGCAGAACTGAGTTCAAGTCCTGGATATCCTTATTAACCTTCTGTCTCATTGATCTATTTAATATTGGCAGTGGGGTGTTAAATTCTCCCATTATTTTTATGTGGGCATCTAAATCTCTTTGTAGGTCTCTAAGGACTTGCTTTATGAATCTGGGTGCTCCTGTATTGGGTGCATATATATTTAGGATTGTTAGCTCTTCTTTTTGAATTGATCTCTTTACCATTATGTAATGACCGTCTTTATCTCTTTTGATCTTTGTTGGTTTAAAGTCTGTTTTATCAGAGAGTAGGATTGTAACTCCTGCTTTGTTTTCCTTTCCATTTGCTTGGTAAATATTCCTACATCCCTTTATTTTAAGCCTATGTGTGTCTTTGCACATGAGATGGGTCTCCTAAATAGAGCACATTGATAAGTCTTGACTCTTTATCCAATTTGACAGTCTGTGTCTTTTAATTGTGGCATTTAGCCCATTTACATTTAAGGTTAATATTGTTATGTGTGAATTTGATCCTGTCATTATGATGCTAGCTGGTTATTTTGCCCGTTAGTTGATGCAGTTTCTTCATAGTGTCAATGGTCTTTATAATTTGGTATGTTTTTGCAGTGGCTGGTACTGGTTGTTCCTTTCCATGTTTAGTGCTTCCTTCAGGATCTCTTGTAAGGCAGGCCTAGTGGTGACAAAATCTCTCAGCATTTGCTTGTCTGTAAAGGATTTTATTTCTCCTTCACTTATGAAGCTTAGTTTGGCTGGATATGAAATTCTGGGTTGAAAATTCTTTTCTTTAAGAAGTTTAATGTTGGTCCCCACTCTCTTCTGGCTTGTAGAGTTTCAAGGCAGGGGAGTGTATACAGTTACCTGGGAGAATTTTTAAAATATTTTTTTTCCCCAAGCCCAAACCCCAATCTTAGAGTTTATGACATGCATCTGGGTATGACTCTCAGTTTATAGTTTGAAAAAGCTCTTGGGGTAGTTCTGAGAGGCATCCCTGGATAAGAGCCATTACTTTGGGGTGATGACTCTTAGAGTATGATCTGAAGTATATGGCATCATGGAGCAAAATGGTTTGGAAAAAATAATTTAAAAAATCAAACCTAGGCTCAGTGAGTCCTCTGCAACCATCAGACATCGCACTTAGTTGCTGGCTGACTTTGGGCAAGTATTAAATAGGGATAATGATGATGGGAATGACAATCATGATGATGGTGATAAAGTAGCGTGGGTTTTTGTGAGGTTAAATTTAAAAGTGCCTATTGAAATGCCTGGCAACATAGTAAGTCCTAGACTTTCTCTCCCAAACCCCTACATGTGATAAGAAAAATAGATTAGTATTAGGATTGTTTCTACACTTTAAAGGAACATGTAAACTATAGCCCATGCTGTATCAGAAGGACAGTGGGTACCATGTAGTGCTCTGGTTGTGAGTAGTTCATACTTCACATTCTCACTGCACTTGGGAGCTTGGTTTATATTGTGTCAACTCACACGTGTTTAGCTCTTATGTCACATTATAATTGCTCTCAGATAGTTTTGATGGACATATTGCCTACCTAGTCAGATGATAAACTACACAAAGTTAGGGATACCGTCCATTAACTTTGAATCATCCATAATTCCTGGTACGGGGTTCTGTAGATCAAACATTTCTATTCTTAGTGATAACAGCTTGAAATGAAACATTTACTCATTCTTCTTATTGGTTGAAGGGATAGAACGTGAATAAAACAGAGCTTAGGAGTTTTGGAGAATGTGATTACCAACTCAGATATCCAGCAAGATGTTTCTTAGCAGTTGTCTGGATGACAGCATGATGATCCTGATTTATTATTGCTTTGCTTTAAATACCACTTAGGAGATAATAGCAATAAGTTATCTGTACTTACTGTTGACTCTGGTTTCCTATAAATCCCTTCACTGTTCTTGGGTAATGTTATTGTCATACAAAAAAATTGCAATATGTAAAACATGCATAGTTTCTATTTTATTCATAAGATCCATTAGGGCAAGAACCTTGCCTTAATAGTATTCATATTTCCTGTGCCTAGACTAGTGTCTGACACATTATAAGCACTTAGAATAAATTATGTTGGATGACTCTTCATACTTATATATAATGCTAAGTAAGGCTACAGGCCAGTAGTTCTTTGGGGTGCTGAAAGTGTGCTGGTTTTCAGAATAGAACATTAGTTTTTCTCAGACTTCTGAAAGTTTGTGGTCTTCTAAGCATTCTAGGTATTTGATCATAAATAATCTGTAATCATTTTATTTATGAAATTCACCAAATATCTTTTTTTTTTTTTTTTTTTTTTTTTGAGACAGAGTCTCACTGTGTCACCCTGGCTGGAGTGTAGTGGCGTGATCTTGGCTCACTGCAACCTCCGCCTCCTGAGTTCAAGCAATTCTCATGCCTCAGCCTCCTAAGTAGCTGGAATTACAGGCACCCATCACCACACTTGGCTAATTTTTGTATTTTTAGTAGAGACAGGGTTTCACCATGTTGGCCAGGCTGGTCTTGAACTTCTGACCTCAAGAGATCCACTTGCCTTCGCCTCCTAAAGTGCTGGGATTACAGGCATGAACCACTACACCCAGCCTCCTATTTTTAAGTTTCTCTGAAATTTTACTGAAACAGTTAACTTACTTAGTTATAGAATAATTAAATTAGATCTAATATTTGATAATTCAAACAATGTACACATGCATATATTGATAAGTATATTTTAATAAAAAATGTTTTCACTGTGGAATATCCTAGAATTGTATCACATTAGAAAATTATTTAACTGGCAAATGATTTTTTATTGTAGTAAAATTCAGTTAATATAAAATTTGCAATTTAAATAATGTCTTTCCCTAATGCCTGTAAAATTGCAAAATTGCAGAGTAACTTTTTTTTTTTTTTTTTTAAAACACAGGATCTTACTCTGCTGCCCAGGCCTGAGTGCAGTGGCACAAACAGAGCTCACTGCAGCGTTGACCTCCCGGTTTCAAGCCTCTGCTTCTCAAGTAGCCGGGACTACAGTCAAGTAGCCGGGACTACAGTCAAGTAGCCGGGACGACAGGCGCGTGGCACCACGCCCAGCTGTTTTTTATTTTTTATTTTTATTTTTGTAGAGATTAGGTCTCTCTATGTTGGTCAGGTTGGTCTTGGACTCCTGGGCTCAAATGATCCTCCTGCCTCAATCTTCCAAAGTGCTTGGGCTACAGGTGTAAGCCGCTGTGCTCAGCTCAGATTCAGCATTTTTAAAGCATACAATTCATTGTCATTTAGGACATTCACATTGTTGTGCAACTGTCACCACTATCTAGCTCCAGAACATTTTCATCACCCCAGATGGAAACAGGAGACATTAAGCAGCCACTCCCCATCCTCCCCTACCCACAGCTCCTGGAAACTACTAATCTGTTTTCTGTCTCTATAGATTTGCCTATTCTTGGATATTTTGTGTAAATGGGATCATACCATTTACAGTCACAAAGCCTTTTGTGACTGGCTTCTTTAACATGATGTTTTTAAGGTTCATGGATGCTGAGGCATATCTCAGGACTTCATTCTATTTTAAGTCTGAAAAATATTCTTTGGATGGTTGTACCATGTTTATTTGTTTGTTCATGGATTGATGGACATTTGTGTTTTTTCTATCTTTGGCTAGTAGAAAGTAGTGCTGCTGTGAACACTGGTGTACGAGCATCTGCTTGACTCCCTGTTTTCAATTCTTTTGGGTATATACCTAGGAATGAAATTGCTGGGTCATATAGTATTTTATGTTTGACTTATTGAGGAATCACCAAAAGGCTGCACACTTTACATTCCCACCAGCAATGTATGAGAGTTCTGATTTCTCCTTTCTCCATATACTCATCAGCACTTTCTGTTTTCTGTTTTTGTTTGTTTTTTTTTTAATTATAGCCAATCTACAAATGATTTTAAACTTTGTTACAAATTCTTATCCCTCTGTGGGAGCATATTTATAACCCCGCATAGCGTATTTCTGGGACAGTTTTGATATTTGATCCACTTGCTCTCTGGGCAGAGGGAGTGTGATTTCTGTAATGCTAACTGTGCTCTCCAGCCGCCCGGCATTGTGTTGTTTGGGTGTCGGGGAGTGTCAGACTTGGAATGTTACTGTTGATTGCTGTGGACAGTTTTCATCTCTGAAGGGAAGATTTACAGGTTTGTGGCTAGAGTGAAGACTGTTCTTGGAGATATTTTTAACCACGTCCAAATAACTCCATGCCAACAAATATAAAATGAGTAATCATTCTTTTTGTTTTGATGTCAGAAAGAATACATTTGTAATAACTCCACTCTTTTTCTAAAAAGGAGTAGTGTCGTCTTCTGTCAGAAAATGATTTTAGACTGCAGTATTTGGCAAGTTTTAGAGTTTCACTGTCTATTTTGTGATAGTATAATAATGTTTTCTCCTTTGAAAGACAAATTTACACAGTAAGATATGTAAGAAGTTGAGTAAAGCAGCAATGTTTAAATACATTGTTATGTTCAGGTTTTAGATCCTGTCCTGAATTTTAGAATAAATATACAAAAAAGGTGTTTTTTTTTTTTTTAGTTCATCTAGGGGTGATTGAGGCTACAAAATTTATGCCACGTTTTCAACTGTCAAGGCTGCTTTCAGAATCCAGAGGAGGCCTGTAAGTACAAAGATGCAGAGATGAATAAAGAAAGACAGTGGCCCATTCTTTCTGTTTTTTCACAGTCTCCCTTAGGGTGTGAGTTAGGTGCTTATGTGGTGCAATTAAAAAAAATTATTGATTGGTTGGGCGCGGTGGCTCACGCCTGTAATCCCAGCACTTTGGGGGGCCGAGGTGGGCGGATCACCTGAGGTCAGGAGTTCGAGACCAGCCTGACCAATATGATGAAACCCTGTCTCTACTAAAAATACAAAAATTAGCTGGGCATGGTGGCATGCGCCTGTAATCCCAGCTACTCGGGAGGCTGAGACAGGAGAATCGCTTGAACCTGGGAGGAGGCAGAGGTTGCAGTGAGCTGAGATGGAGCCATTGCACTCCAGCCTGGGCAACAAGAGTGAAACTCTGTCTCCAAAAAAAAAAAAGAAAAAATTATTGATTGATTAGGGATGTGGGTTAAATGGTAGGCTGGTAGGCCACTATTAACTTTCTCATGTACTTCCCCAAAGAAGCCCATGAGGTAGAAACACAAATGTATGAATATCATTTTAACACTATACTATACTATTTGGGAAATATTTTAGTTTTATTGGGAGAGAAACATTTATTAGTATCTCAAAAGATGCTAGTCTTCAAAGTACTCTCCTACCTGCCACAGGAACCATTACATAAGAAAATTAATGAAAGACCTGTAGAGAATAAAAGGTAAAGAAAGACTATATCTAATAGTTTCTAGCATATAAACACAGGATTTTAGGTAGCATTATTGTACAATGACGTGCATAGTAGGCTTTCAAAAAGCATTTGTAGAATTAATGAAGGAAATGAATAATTCATTAATGAATAATGAAGAAAGAAAAAAATGGTATAAACTGAACTGAACTGAAATATTTAACTTAAAGGACCAAATAATCCAAAGAGGAATCTTTATTTGTTTCTGTTCCCAAAGAGCTTGTTTTGTATTTAGCTATAGTTCAACAATGTTTATTTAATGCCTTCTACATGTGAGGCACTGAGATGAGGTAAGAAGGTTAGATAGGGAATGAGAGGAATGTAAACAAAGATGTGTAGTAATAGAAGTACTTCAAAGGTCAGAGCAGACAGGAGGATGAAAGAGGAGGAAGACATTAACTCTGTCAAAGGTGGCATATTAGAAGAAATTAACGAAAGAATTGAGCTCAATTTTGAAGGTAAATGCTGGTTTATCAGGAAGACAATGGGCATGGAAATTCTGGGTAGCCAGAACAACATTGATAGTGACAAGAGGCAGTGAGATGCCTAGGCAGATAGAGGTGAGTCCCCAGCAAAATCCCACCTCCAAGTTGAAGACCATATAAGGCCTGGAAGCCAAGCTACAAGTTAAATCCTGGGACCAGATTGAGAACCTGTCTTCCCATTTGGTGTGCTTTCCTCTGATTGGTCTCTACCTTTCACCTATTATACATATACCTACCCTTTCCTAATTGGTTTTCTACACGGTGGTGCCCACCTTTGAGTGATGTCTTTGCTTTAAACTTTTTTGCATACTCACAAACCAATCAGCTGCACTCCCCATTCTGAGTCCATAAAATGCCCCAGACCCAATCACACAGAGAAACCACCCAACTGTGGGGGTACCCTCCCCCAACCCCACATCCCTTCTTTTCTGAAAGCTGTTCTGTCACTCAGTAAAATCCTCTGCTCTCATCACCCTTCAGCCATCAGTGTGACGTCATTCTTCTTGGATGCTGGATAAGAGCTTAGGGCCCACTGAGCACGGGTACTCTGAAAAGCTGTAGCACTGGCCCTTGCCCTTGACAGCGGAGAGCAGCCTTGACAGCAGTCAGCGCAAGGGAGCAAGGGACTGACTGAGCTGCTAACATGCTGCTGTAAGGCTGCGGACAGTGGAACTAAAAGAGCTAATTATCACACTAACACCCACTCTGGGGCTTCAGGATCATGGGCACCCCTCCCTGGGCACTGCCCCATTCCCCTGGAGGTAACACGCCTGACTTGGCTGTGGGCCCTGCATGGAGCTTGCTCCTGTGTTGGTGGTCAGAGTGGCCTGCCAGGTTCCACTCTTGCTCGCTCATGTGCTCTCTCCTGCAAGGGGCTGAGCATGGCAGGCCGAGTAGAGGGGGCACCCCTGCTGCAAGTCCAGCAACGGGGCTGAAAAAAATCCTGCTTCGACATGGCTAAGATGTCGAGGCATGAACCAATGGAGTGTGCTCAGGAAATACAAATAGTTTGGCACTGGAGGTTCTGAAACTGTAAGGTTTGAGGAGAAATAGGGAAATATGAGGCTGAAAAGATACTCCAGGCCTGTGTCATGGTGGCTTTGTATTCTATAGTAAGGGCCTTGGGACTTATCTGGTAGTCACTGGAAAGCCATTCAATTGCTTTAAACAAAGGACTGACAACTGAGGTTTGGAATTCTTGTTGAGATTTTTTTCTGAGGAGCAGTGTTTCTCCCAAGAGCACATACATTAAAATCTTCTGTTGTGCTTATTAAAAATTCAGAGCCCTGAACTCTATCCTGGTATAAACCAAAAATAAAATTCTAAGCCGCTTGACCATCCCGATGGACCCCTTCTCTTGGCAACGGCATTCCAAAGTTAAGTGGAAAAACTAGTTTTAGGCCGTGATGGGAAGAGGGTGTTGGATCTCCTCCCTTTTGGAATTACCTAGAACAGACTTTTTAAGTCTGATAAGAAACATTTACAATCTATTCTCAAAGCCTGCTACTTGGAGGCTTCACCTGCATGATAAAACCTTGGTCTCCACAATTCCTTATCGTAACCCAGACAGTCCTAAGTCTTTAGACGATAACCTAACTGTTTCAGTCAATGCCAATCAGTAAGTATTTAAATCCGCCTATGACTTGGAGGCCCTTGCTTCCAGTTAGTTGTCCTGCCTTTCTGGACCAAACAGATGTATATCCTACATGTATTTGATAATGTCTCATGTCTCCCTAAAATGTATAAAACTAAGCTATACCCCGACCACTTTGGGCACATGTTCTCAGGATCTCCTGAGGGTTGTGTCACAGGCCATTGGTCACTCATATTTGGCTCAGAATAAATCTCTTCAAATATTTTACAGAGTTTGACCCTTTTTGTCAACACTGGGTTTACTAAATCAGAATCCTGGTGGAAAACTTTGGAATCTGCATGTTTAACCTTCCAAGAGGATCCCCTTGCACCCTGCAGTTTTGAACACACTGCTCTTAGGGGTAGGGAGTTGAAAAGTTGGGCAAGACTAAATGCAGAGAGGTTATCTAGGAGGTGATGTCATACTCCAAGTGAGAAAGTTTGAAGCAGTGTCAATGGGGATAGAAGATAGAATATGATAAACTTGAGAGGTATTTTGGGGATAAAATCACATGTAGTTGGTGCTTGGATAGACTCAGTGAAGAAGAAAGTTTCAAGCCAGGTTTCTGTCTTAATTGGGTGGTGCATTAATAGTTATTATTAAAGTTTTAATAAGTTATACTTTTCCTTTTATATATAATTTTAAAAATTTGATACATTCCTAAATTTGATTATTGTTTCCTTTCAGGGCCACATTGTTTTGTTGTTGAATTTTATGGTAGAAATAAAATGAAAAAAATATGTCACTTCGTTAAGATCTGTTATAGTCAACTTGTCAGGAAAACATTTATTTATTTAGTTGTAGATCCCAAAGTACCTATTTGCCTCTATGAATAAAATGAATACATAGCTTTATTTCTGATATCTCTGGGAGAAATTATATTTGCAAAACTTAAAGTCTAATTCAGCATACAACCAAAGTCATTGGAAGTATCAGCCAATGAGCTGGAGACACAGCAAGGCTTAGTAGATGGATCTTTCAAGTCAGGCAAAACCCAACAAAATTGTTAAATATGTGCATATGTCTCTGTCACTGTCCTTTTTCCACCTCTTCCTTTCTGGTCCTGTCCTGAAGAAGAGACTCCTACATACTACTTGTGTATATTGTTGCTATTAATTCTTGTTAACTGATGTGCTGACAAATAAGAACCAAACGTAGAATTCTTTTGGGAATGTGGTGGATATTATAATGCCCACCCATTTCTGCACTTCCCTACATTTCTCAGACTCCTGCGCATTTAGGTTGGCCGTGTGACTGATTTCTGGCTAATGGAATGTGGGTGGAAATGGTGTTCTCTACTTGTAGGCTGCTTGGTCTTCCATGCTCTGAATCTAAAATATCCTGCATATCTACCATGCTCTCCTTATCTCATTCCTGGTCCTCTAAAATGACTCCAAACATCTGCATCAGAGTTTGCATGAACAAGAAATACTTTTATCATGTTAGTCTACTGAGATTCCAGCTTATTCTGTAACATAGCATTGCCAACTCTGATCAATGCATAGGGGTATTCCCAATTTTATGGGTGACTACTAACAGTATTTAAGTTAAAAATGGATGAAACTAGGCTGGGTGTGGTGGCTCGTGCCTGTAATCCCAGCACTTTGGGAGGCCGAGGTTGGTGGATCACAAGGTTAGGAGTTCAAGACTAGCCTGGCCAATATGGGGAAACCGGATTTCTGCTAAAAAATAAAAATATTAGCCAGGTGTGGTGGTGAGGGTCTGTAGTCCCAGCTACTTGGGAGGCTGAGGCAGGAGAATTGCTTGAACCCGGGAGGTGGAGGTTACAGTGAGCTGAGATCGTGCCGTTGCACTCCAGCTTGGGCGACAGAGTGAGACTCTGTCTTAAAAAGAAAAAAAAAGATGAAACTAATGATGGAATGATAGGCGTTGAGGTGACTCTTTAGGGATAAAGGAGAACTCTTCTGGTACAGACTTAAGTTACATCATGAAGATACCCTCCTTGAGCCCTAAGACTGTAACTTGACATCAGAACTTATTTTTTACTTGCCTGGTCCTGCTGCCATCATGTTTTCAGTTTTTTTCTTTTTTTTTCTTACTTACAGAGTGGGGTGATTAATACCCATGTGATGGAATTATTGTGGAGATTAAAAGAGATGCCATATGTAAAATGTCTAGACCAGTGCCTAGCACATAGCAGGCGCCAGAGCCATCCTGGGAGAGCATCAGAAATGCAATCCCATAATTAACTTTGTAAATTTCTGATGTGATTCACAGATGGATGTTATTTACATTAGTGACATCTAGTAGTTTTAAAGTTCTTACTTAAAATTTGAACTCTCTAAATTTCTGTGTCATAGGGCTCTGACGACTATGCCCAAGTTGCTGCATGGATAAATGTCCAATAAACGTTAGGTAGCTATCATTGTTTTCCTATTGTTCTTCAAAAGGAGATGAAAGCAACATTGCCGTTGTGGGGATTGTTCTCCAGGCTTGGGCTGGGAAGGCTGGATCTCCATGGCAAGGCTGTTTGCTGGGCAGTGGTGTGCAAATGATTGGACTGGTGCCAGTCTGACTGACTTGTTTTAAAGGCCAGAACAACTAGACTGAACCATGGGCATAATAACTATGTGTTCTAATCATTCTTATCCTCAAATTGTTTCTTTCTGTAAACAAAAGCAGGAAGAACATCAGATGGGGGTGGAGTGGTATATTTCGAAAGACCTGAGATCAGACCTCCAGAGTTCCCAGCTTTGCTGCTGTGTGACAAGGCAGACTGATTTAGCCTCTGTGGCTTCATTTTCTCACCTTTGAAATGAGAGCATTAGACTAGCAGGGTGCAAGGGGGTCCTCTTGGAAGGTTAAACACGCAGATTCTTAAGGGTCTTAAGGGTCCTTTCTCTAACCTACCAGAACCTAAACAAAATTGAAGTTCCACTTGATCCAGCCTCTGTGAAAGAATGAATTCAAAGGAATGGTCCGGTATCTAAAAGGATTCTTCAAATATTTTTGCAGTCTCTCAGTAAACTGCCAAAGTGGAGTGTGCTTTTTTTTTTGAAGTGGAGTATTCTTTTTTAAAAAACAGCTTTATTGAGGCATCATTTACATACCATACAATTCACCCATTTAAAGTATACAGTTCAATAGATGTTAGTATGGGGTATGCATTCTTACTATAGAAAAAGCATCTTAAAATCTACTTTATTGTTATCTTTGTTTTCTTCTACATGGATATCAGGTGATCCCCAAAGCTCTGAATCTCCAACTATTACCTCACAACCCCCAAACTCAAACTCCCTGGCATCTGTTCCACATGATTTTCTGGTCTCTCTCTCTCCTTTCTCTTGCCACCTCTCTCAGCACTTTAATATATACACAAATGGGGACTTGTCCACTTTTCTGTTTTCCCTTTATTTGCTCATTATTTAGATGCTGAACAACAAAAGAGAGTCCAAGAGCAACCTGAACAGGTGAGAAATTTTCCCTTATTAGACATAAAAAGGAGGCATGCATGTGAAGTCCCACACCTAAATATTCTTTTAAATTTCTGTTGCCCTAAGGGCACACTGTGACTTCTCTTCCACTTGTTCTTCCTTTGGGCAGTTCCAGTCAGCTTTGCCATTGTACATAACAGGAAGTGGAGTGCTCTTGCAAGGAAGGCCTAGAGTTACAGGAGACAAACCACTGAATTAATTTCTAACAAATTAACAGAGATTCTACTTGTCTCATTCATGCTGTAAAACTGCAAGCCTACAGTTGCATTTGTTTTCACTTCTACCTAAGACGAGCAGGGCTCTGATGCTATCTCTGGGATGGCATGGGTGTGTTTGTGCAAGGGCAGGCCTTCCTTGTCTGCCAGAGCAGGTCCCTGCCTGATAAGGCCACACCAGGCCTCTCAGCTCCCTAGGGAGTCATCCCATGCATTGTGAAAATTTTACCATGACCCAGTTTGTTCCATGTGTTGTTTTATTGAATTTCATACTGATGAACATCAATTATTATTAAGTTCCTGCTGTGTTCCAAATATGCCCTAAACATTTTATGTAATGCATGGGGGTCCTCAGTTCCATGTAGTTTTAAAATGGAGATGTATATATAAGCACACTGACATTATCATATTAGAACTAAATAGAAGCTTATCTTTTAGGAAAAATTTGAATTCTTTTTTTAAAAAAAATTGCAAGTATCTTTGTAATTGATTAATAAACAATACATTGTTTATTGTAAATTTTTTTGTAATACAGACGCATGAAGAAGAAAGTATAAAGGATGAGAAATTCTGCTTCCTAGAAATAACTACTGTTAGAGTTTTGATGAACATTCTTTGAGACATCTTGCTATACATACACACACATATATATTATACATACATAATTTTACATAAATGGATTTATAATATACTTACTATTTGTAACCTGCTTTTTTTTTTCACTCAGCAGTATGTCAGGAACTAGTTTCCCTATCAATAAATGTAGACCCACATAATTATATCCAATTGTAGCAGAATGTTCAATTATATCACCTGTAATTTAACTAATTCCTTATTAATGGAATTTAAATAATTTCCAATTCTTTAAAACATTATAAACAATCATTGCACCTGTCTCTCCAATTATACTCTTAGCACACATTCCCTGGAGGTGGATCCTTTGTTGGGTCAAAGGATATGAGCATTGAAATTTTTGAGACATAATGCCACACTTGACTCAAACACCAACCCCCTTGATTCAGATGCTGTTGATGCCCCGCCCATATCTTCTTGGTCCACTCCAGAGGCCTCTCAGATGGAACAAGTTTATAGCCTGTTGAGTGTCTCTGCCAGGAATATTCGCTAGCTGTGGAGCCCATTCACAGTCAGGGAAGCATGAAGTGCTGGAAGTGCACTGGAAGTTAATGTGACCCCTAACTGCGAAACGATGGGGACTTGTGGATAAATGCTTCAGTTTCCTTTCCCCGAGGTGGGACTATTCTAACGTGTGTTGTACACAGTCCCTAGGAGAATTTAGTCTAGTTGCATGTAGTAGCATCCTCCTCATTAACTCACAAGTTATCTGCTTTCCTCCCTTACTACCTGACTGCCCCACTCCTTTACTGGGCTTCATTGGACTTCTACTCAAATCCTAGTCTCAGGGTCCACTTTCACAGGAGCCCAGATGAAGACATCCTTCATATTACAGGTGAAAGTTGTGGTAGGTACAATAATGGCTCCTTAAAGATATCCATATCTTAGATTGCTGGAACTTGTGAAAATGTTACCTTACTTGGAAAAAGGGACTTTGGAAATGTAATCACATATGTAATCACATCTTAAGAACCTTGAGATAGGAAAGTTATCCTGTATTATCTGGGTGGCCCTGATGTGATTACAAGCATCCTTAAAAGTGGAGGAGGAAGGCAGAAGAAGAGAGTCAGAAGGAGATGTGAAGAATCAGAGATGCAGCATTGCTGGCTTTGAAGATGGAGGAGAGCCATGAGCCAAGGAGTGTGGGTGACCTCTAGAAGCTGGAAAAGGCATGAAAACAGATTTACCCCTGGAGCCTCCAGCATGGAACCTAGTTCTGCTGACACCTTGATTTTAGCCCAGTGACTTCTATATTGGACTTCTAACCTACAGTACTGTAAGATAACAAATTTGTGCCACGTTTGTGGTAATCTGTTATGGCAGCGTTAAAAAACGAACACAAAATGTTAAACAATACAAGGCAACGGATGCCAGAAGCATCATATGGCAGTGCCTATTGTTCCAAAAGAGGAGCGTGAACAATGAGGCTGAGAAAAGGATGAAATCATGAAACTTGTTCCTTCCTCTTGAGCACAGAGTGGTTTGCTGTGGGTGTTTAGAGTAGTGAGTTAATGACCACTAAAGATAGGCCTGTGGCCGGAAACCGTCCCAATGAGCTGAGGGTTTGTACGAATTTTAATTTGCTTGAAAATTCCGTCAGGTTTCTGAAAATTTTAGTGTGTATAAAAATTATCTGGGAAAATAAAAAGTTAAAAAAAAAGATCATCTGAGGAATTTGTTTAAAATGTAGATTCTTGGATCCCATTTGCCAGAGGTTCTAATTCAAAGGTCTGGAATAAGGTCCAGGAATTTGCATTTAAAACCAGATTACTCTGACACACATTGCTTTAAGGGACTCTCCTACTAGAAACCCCTGCTGTTTGACAGTTGTGGGGGAGGTCTACACGGCACCCACTTTGTCAGGCAGTTTGTGTAGGTAAGATCAGAAGAGAAAGGAATCACTAGAAAATTTCTATTATTGTATCACATCCAAATATCCTAGTTTTGTTTCTGTTTGGGGGTGTCAGTCACAACAGTCATTAGTATCAACTGGAAGCCCGAATGTAATAGATGGGGTGGCCTGTGTCACCAGAGGCAGAGCATCTGGGCCCTGGGCCCCTGAGGATTGTCTGATCTTATGATTGGTTTGCTTACAATAGCATTTTCTCATTTGGCTGATGGGCAAATCGTTTTCAGATGACCTTGGAGAGCCGGGGTAGTTTGGCTGTTACTAACTGGAAGCTGCACACTCAAACATTTGGAATATTCTGAGGATTACAGATGTGCTGAAGGGTGTCTTGGATCTCCTCCAGTGAGGGTTTCAGAGGTCATCTGAAAAGAATGCTCGCCTCTGCCTTATGCCTTTTAGAAGGAGGCTCTGTGCTTGTCTAGCTTTATGCAGCTCTCTGAAATGTCAGAAGATAAGAAATGCCTCTCAGCACGAAGGCTTCCAGACACATATGTGACAAGAAATTTGGCATCAGCTTTACAAGTGTCAGATGTCTAGGATAAAGCAATATGGGTATAGTATTTCTGGTGCTATTTTGGTGCCTTGTGCATGAGCCTGCAGCATTAGAAAAACTGCTTTTCAGCTTTGGATGATAGCCTTACTGGCGTTCGGCATGCATGTCTGAAAGTACAGTTGGGTCATATTCTAGTTATGGTCCACAGCAAGTCACCTAGAGTTGTGATATTGAGCTTTAAGGGAGTGCCCTTGAGGCACACGGGCATTTCACAGCCTTTGACAACTTGAGTGGCACAGCCACAGAGACTGTCATCAGATGGTGCCATATAAGCCTTAATCAACTCTTGCAACACCCGTGCAAAGTTGGTAAACACTCTTATCCTCGCTTTTCAGGCAGGGAACTAAAGCAAGGAGAGGTCCAACAGACAGGGTCACAGACTCAGTCAGTTCACTTATCTTACTGTTGAATGATCTCAGGTGAATGAGATCAGAACAAATTTCTACTTTCTCTAACTCAGGGAATATGTCTCCTGGCGAGAGAGCATTTTTGGCACTTTGTGACTTGCTGAAAGACTTGAAGTTCCCAGCCTGGCTGTGGCTGTTCATTGGTTAAGAGCAAATGCCTGGGGCACTTGGCTTAATGACTGTCATAAGCAGTGTGAAAAAATGTGTAAGAAAAAACAAAATATGGTAATGTAGAGAGGTTGTTAAGGCAGTAATATCCAATAGGAATACTGCGTATAAAGTCTGAGTGATAATACAACCCTCTTACCCAAGGTATTTGATACTGGCTGAGGCCTCTTTTATTTATTTAAAATCCAGTGGTGAGCTCTAAACACCATAGTTTAAGAAGATAAAAAAATACTTACAGTGGAGAATTTTCTGAATGATTGAAAAATGGAAGTAGAAGACCCATGAGAAAAGATGAAAGCATTGCTCTTAATTTGTGGAAAGAAAGTTGATGGGAAATTATGAGGTCTGTAAATATATCACAAGGTTTTTAGAGAAGACAAATTAATTTTCCACTGATGACAAAACTTGAAAAAGTGGGTTTATCTTAGAGATTGAAAGAGTCATAGGAAAGAATCTTCTGGTGTTGAGAATGGTTAAAAACCAGACTAGGCTACTTAGAAAGGAATTTCTCTCTTTCGAAGGTCCTTAGTAAATAGGCTAAACCATCCCGGCATGATCAAGGTTAATGATGTCAACTGGTGTCTCCAGCGCCCTAAGGTGGGTTGCCAGTAGTGATCATGGTCGGATTACTTTTTTTTTTTTCAACTTTTCAGTTTGAAATAATTTTAGACTTACAGAAAAGTTGCAAACTAGTATACAGAGTTCCCATATATCCCAGCTTCTCCTGGTGTTAACATTTTACACAACCATGATCAAATGATCCAGTGATCAAAACCAATAAATTAACATTGCTGCAAAATGGTGTAGGGGCTTCGAGTGAAGGGAAAATAGGTAGGACTGTGGACTTTCACAATCCTTCCATGGAGCAGATTGCTTTTATTTATTTATGTTGTAATTCCATGTACTATTTTATTTAAACACATAGTTCTATTGCAAAAATTTGAAAACCAAGTTTAGGAAGAGAGATAGTTTAGCTGACCTCTACTACTAAGATTTTGTGCTTTTGATAATTATATCATTTGTCAGATAATTAGAGGGTAAATGTGTTTGGTAAAGACATTTATGGATGCAATGTAATGCTACATATACATTTTTGTTCGTTTCTTGATCCATTCAGGCTTGTTCTGCTGTAAGCAGGTTATTTGTACTTGCTTGCTCTCCAGCACCAAAAACCATGACTGGCACATAGTCTATGCTTAATTAATATTTGTTCAATGGGCCAGGTGTGGTGGCTCACACCTGTAACCCCAGCACTTTGGGAGGTTGAGGTGGGTGGATCACCTGAGGTCAGGAGTTTGAGACCAGCCTGGCTAACATAGTGAAACCTCGTTTCTACTAAAAATATAAACAATTAGCCAGACGTGGTGGCACGTGCCTGTAATTCCAGCTTCTTGGGAGGCTGAGGCAGGAGAATCACTTGAACCTGGGAGGTGGAGGTTGCGGTGTGCTGAGATCACGCCACTGCACTCCAGCTTGGGCCACAAGAGTGAAACTCTGTCTCAAAAAAAAAAAAGAATTGTTAAGTGGAATCAAATTGGCATGTTCACCCTTTTCTGATTTCTTCACATGCCTTGCTCCTTACTCAAATATCTGCGTAGGCCTTCCCTGACCATCCAAACTAAAATAACCTTTTTTCTATTATCTCTCACTTTCTTTCTCTTTCACCTGGCACTATTTTGTTGTTATTATTCAGAGCACTCATTATTATCTGAAAGATGATTGATTTGTTTGTTAAAAGTGTATGATCTGTCTTCTACTAACAGTAAGCTCCTTGAGGACAATGACATTTTCTTGTTGAATCTCTATGGGTTATAGGGAATGGTATCTCATACCTGAAAGTTTATATGAAATATTTGTTGAACGAATGAATGAATGAAGACACGGTCACCTATACTTTGAAGATAGAAGTAAGTTAACTTCAGAAGGCTTCACTTAAACATCTTGGAATTCACAATTTGCATATATGGAAATATGTGACAATTTTTTCAATTAGAGCGTTGTATTTATAAATTTCCTTTTGCCTTTCACTGATGTAAGAAAATTATTTCTTATTTTAATCTCAAATAGTGACCCTGTAGCTGGTAACCCTGTAGGAATATTTTTGAAAGAAAAAGGATAAATTCTATGAAACTCTTTGAGCTCTAAGAAAGATGATAACTACATTTGAGAAGTTGTATTGTCATGATTAATTAGTGTTATACAAAAGTGAGAGACTCACACAGCCCTGTCAGTGTCATGGGAATCACAGTGCCTATGATGTTAATGGGAACCAGATCCAATTAAGTGAATTAAAATAATTTAAAATATTATGGATGTGGGCATCCCACAGAATGGCAACTGGTGCATTTCTCAGGGCCAACCTCATCTATACACAGAGAAAGACTCAAAATGGTCATGTTATCTGTGTATGTGTATGTGTATTATGTGTATGTGATTAAGGTGCCCCAAGAATATCTGCTGTTACATTTTTTTGTGTGCATATAGGCAGCAGAGTGGCACAATACAAAAGTGCTGGGCCCCTGCAATACTTTATGCACAGAGGCAAAACAAACAAACAAACAAACAAACAAAAAACCTCATCATGACTCAGTTGTGCAAGATTTCAGAGAGGGTGATTTAGGGCAGCTCAGTCTGGAGCTCTATGCTTTCCTCACGGCATTTAAGGCTTAAGAGCTGGAAAAAGGTTTCCAGTTAGTTACTGAATGTGGTGGGCAGAATAATGGCCCCCCAGAGATGTCATGTCTGAATCCTTAGACTCTGTGAATATGTTAGGTTACATGGCAAAGGGGATTTAAGGTTCAGATAAAGTCAGTGTTGCTAATCAGCTGACCTTGAGATTGGGAAATTATCCTGGATTATCTGGGTGTGCCCAGTGTAATCACAAGGGTCTTTAAAAGTGAAAGAGGGAGGCAGAAGAAAGTGTGATAGTATAGGGATGTGAAGAAGACTCAACCAGTCCTTGCTGGTTTTGAAGCTGGAAGTGGGTCATGAGCCAAGGAATAAGGGCAGCCTCTAAAAAGCTGGAAAAGATCAGAAAATGTTTCTCCCCTAGAGCCTCCAGAAAGGAACACTGTCTGGCCAACACCTTGATCTTAGAACAGTGAGACTCATTTCTGCCTTCTGACTTCCAGAAGTGTAAGATAATCAACTTTTGTTGTTTTTAAGCCACTGAGTTTATGGCAATTTGTTACAACAGCAATTGGAAGCTAGTATACTGAGTCTCATTCATACCCCTATGAGACCTTCCGCAATGTCATCCCACCCAACCCACCTAACTCTCCAGCAAAGTCTTCTGCTTGAGTTAGATCGGTTTCCTCCCTCCTTCCACATACATTATGCTCATTCCCACCTCCTAGTTGTTCTCCCTTTTGTGGGTTTCTCTGGTTGGGAAAGAATTTTTCCTCCTGCTAGTGTAAATCTGTATGGACATGGTTTCTTCTTCCCATAAACTGCTAGACCAACCTGGATCACCCCAACTCTGCAGGTGATCGGATGTTAAAATATTTCAATCAAAATGGACTAAATTTCTGACGTGGGCTATAACTGATGTCATGAAGATGAGGAGGATTTAAGGCTTACTTTTTTTTTTTTGAGACAGAGTCTCACTCTGTCCCCCAGGCTGGAGTGCAGTGGCGCGATCTCGGCTCACTGCAAGCTCTGCCTCCCGGGTTCACGCCATTCTCCTGCCTCAGCCTCCCAACTACCTGGGTCTACAGGCGCCCACCACTGCGCCTGGCTAATTTTTTGTATTTTTAGTAGAGATGGGGTTTCACCGTGGTCTTGATCTCCTGACCTTGTGATCCGCCCGCCGCGGCCTCCCAAAGTGCTGGGATTACAGGCGTGAGCCACCGCGCCCAGCCTAAAGGCTTACTTTAATGGACATACACATTGACTAGTTTTTCAAAATAGTATGCTGTATGCTAGAACTGAAATGTGTTTATGGTATTGGAGGAAGGAAGAGAAAGGATACCTGATTGCCTAAATTGGGGCAGGTGCGAGGGTCACAGATTGGATTTAGGTAAAACCTTTGAGAAAAGGATTCCTGGGTTGCCTCATGAATGGTGAGGAGTCTGTGAGGCAACGCAAGGATGGGAAAGGCTACTTCAGGCAGAGAAAACAGGTAGTTCAAAGGAGAGAGGTGTAAGATATGTTTTATGCAGGAACTACAAGTTGTTTGGCATAACAATAGTGGGTTAAGAAGAAAGGGACAAGAAATTAGGGTAGAAAGAGATAGAAGGCAGATAGCAAATGGTTTTCTAGGTCGGGCTAAGTGGTTTGTAGATAGAAGGATTTAAGCGATAACATGATTTGTGTTTTAGGAAAATTCCTTGGATTGCATCAGGGACAATGGATGTGAAAGGGTTGAGGCTACAGGCAGAGAGAATTGTTGCGAGGCTGTGGTCTAGAGCAGGAATCATAAAGCCTGAACTAAGGCATTGATAGGAGATCAGGAGTGGGGAATTGGCACAAGAAATAGGAGGGAGAATCAACAGTGAAGAGACCATGGAGTGAGTGGTGGTACCCACTCTTTGAGATAGGAAAATTTATTTCATGAGGAAATAGGTATTAAGTTCAATGTTGGATTTAAAGTACTCACAGAGTATAAAGATGGATATGCCTAGCACACAGTTGGTATCAACTTCAGGAAAAGCGTTTAGGATCTAGACAATTTTGGAATCATTAGTGTATAGGTGAGTGTGCAAGAAGAGAAGAAGGGAGAACCATGTAAATATGTGGGATGAGAAAAAATGGTTCAGGAAGCTTGAAGAGACCCAGGAGATAATGGTGTCCCAGTATCTTAGTTTGGTCTGCTATAACAAAAATAGCATAGACAGGTGACTTCCACAACAGAATTTATTTTTCACAGTTTGGGAGCCTGGGAATTCTGAGATCAAAGTGCTGGCAGATATAGTGCCTGGTGAGGGCCCTCTTCCTGGCTTGCTGATGGCAGTCTTCTCGTTGTATCCTTAAGTGGCAGAGAGAGAGAAAACCGCTCTTTTGTATCTTTTTTGAAGGCACTAATTCCATTGAGGAGGGCTTCGCCCTTATGAACTAATCACCTCCAAAAGTCCTTACGTCCTAATACCATCACCTGGGGGGATTAGGATTTCAACATATGAATTTTGGGGGGACATAAACTTTCTGTCCATGATAATGCAGTAACAGAGGGAGGAGAGTGTGACAAGGAGAATGCGACAGCATGGAAAGCCACTGAGAGGTCAGGTGCAACGACGAACATTTTTGTTATATTTGTGTGACCTTGTTGCCAGAGTTTCACAGAAGTATGTGAGTGAACATCAGACGTTGAGAGTGAATAAGAGGTGAGGAAGTGTGAAAACCCATGGTGACCAGCACTTCCAAGAAACTGGGCTGTGGGAAGTCAAAGGTGGAGATCAATGGCCAAGTTAAGAGAGAGTTCAACAGTCTCTGGGAAGTGCTGAGTGGCAACAGCCTTTGAAAAAATGCTATTAAAGATACAGGAGAGAGATAGGTAGAGAGAGAGGAAGGAGGAATTGTTATTGGAAAAAGAAGACAAATAATCTAGTATAGATAGACAGTCTAGCTTTCAATGAGTGGAGGATTCCTTTTAACTGAGATGTGATGCAGGTTAGTTTATAGGTTGTGGAGTGGAAACTGGGTATAACAAGCTGGCTGAAAGGATTCACAATCAGTAGCCACCATATAGGAATTGAGGGTCATTTTTTAAGGGGGGCAGGGTTTGGAGAGGAGGCTTGGCAGAGAAGACAAGCTTTAGGATTTGCCTATGGAACTGAGTTGGGAACTGTAGTCTGAAAAGTCAAGGAACTTTGTATTTTGGGTGTTGGATGGCTATTTCACATGGATGTTTATTTTACCTAAACTGACTTCAGAATTAGAGTGGAGAGGAACTTGGTGAGTCAGGTGATGAAGCTCTCAGTAAGTGCATTCAGGTGGTGGTTTTGGTCACCTCTATAATAACTCAGCTTTACTCCCCCTAAGGAATTGACGGAAGCCAACCCTGACAGTGTAACAAAGCTCATCTGCTAGTAACAGTGCTTTATCTGACAACAGCAAGGCGATTGTGGGAAGGAATGGAGGAATGGAGGAATGGAGGAATGTTGTATGTGATTTCAAAATTGGCTTATAAGATATGAACTCTGAATTTCTTGTGCCTTTCTGGGAAGGAAAAAAAATATCAATACAGATAATTTCTACCTGTTGGCTGCTGCACCGAAAACTCGCTTAACCTCAAAGATAATTCCTATTTGTTGGAGCCAAGAGAGTAGC